ATATCATTATTATTAATTAAACGATCCATTATAATTGAATGTAATCTGAAAAAAGTAAAGAGATAACATCTCAGATTTGATTATTAGACTAGAAGAAATATATTTATAAAAAAATTTATATACGTATGTTAAGGCCAAAGGTACGCAAACTTATGGCATGGATGTTCCCTAACTTAGCGTGGCAAATCAGGTCTTTGGCTTTCCACTTCAAACCTCTAGACAAGGCGCTCCATGTGGGTTAATTTTAAGTGCGACGAAATGGTTTCCGCACCATGGGAAGTTTGTCATTGTATCATAACAACTGCGTACTCGAGGGAGTGTGTATGCAGAGGGATAGTTTTCTTAAGACAACCCTTCCCAGAAATGCCCCACTCTTGGGTGGCGATGGGAAAATTTGGAAACCTTCCCTCATACTTCTTGATTGGTCTTGGCATATTCCTCGCTCTACAACTCCTCCTTTAGAAGGGGTAATTCAAAACTGGATAAAAGAGAGAGTTAGTTACAAAAAGTTATTCAGGACAGAGGTCACAAATAGTATATTCAATACAGTTAGTCAAAAAGAATTATTCAGTATAATTGGTCACAAATAGTTATTCAGCATAGTTCAGCATTCAACGAAAGATTATTCAAGTAGTCAACATTTAGACTCACTTTGTTCAACATTCTTGTCCAAGCAAGAATTGCATAGGAGCCACCAGGCTCAATATTCAATAAATCCAAGTAAGAAAATTAGTTTCATTTTCATTTCTATATCGTGGGTGGTCCTTCGCGCCCAAAGAAAATACGCAAAGGTGCAAGAACGACAACAGTTACAACGTACATACAGTTACTTACGGAGTTGTTTATATACTCGATGAAAAATTGTCAACATTTTAAATTGTTAACTTTGTGAAAAAAGGTCATGCAACGATTGGTTTCATTTTAAAGTTTGAAATTTCTATTTTAATAATTTTAAGTTCGTTTCTCTTTAAAAATGTTTTTACATCATTTATATTGTATATATAATATGAATTGTTATTATTGTTGAAATTTATTATACAATTTTTACAATTTTATACGATTATGATATGATTATATAATTACGAACAATAATCAAAATTTGAAATTTGAAGTTTGATTTCGACATTCTATTTTTAGATATGACCATTTTCACCAGAAAGAAAATGATATATTTTTATCAAACAGCGTAATAAGGATAGTTATTCATTAGTTGTCCAATTTACACATGTAGAATTTATTTATTTATTTTGCAAACATTTATTTTTTTGCCTTAATCCTTTCTTATTCTTTCATATTCAAATTATATTAGTTAAAAGTGTAATAATTATATTAATAATTTCTCATTACATTTGAATAATCTTATTGAATCTTTTAATGATTAATATGGATATATCGGATATATTGATTCTACTACATTAATATACTGCTGATATAAAACTACAAGTACCATGGGTTAATATTTCAACTTTTTATACTTTTTTCTTACGCCTTATTTTTATAGAATGCGTTTCACAGAAAATGTATTTATTGAATTCTTCTATGAAATACTGAATTCATTTTTGAAGATAAAATTTTCCTAATCCGTAGTTTTATTAAATTTTATAGACGTACTTTTTTCAGAAATTATTGATTTGTAAGTAAATCCTATTTACTTTTTTATAACACCATAATAATAAGAGAAGAAGAAAGACAAACAACAGATGGAAAGGAAAAGAAAAAAAGAAACAAAGTATTTGAGACCTGCTAAAATAAATTATTAGAATTTTCTTAGCAATATAATCGGAAGCAGGTTTAAAGATGTATATAAACGTATATAAACGTACGTAATCTGCGTAAAAGAAAGTAAGTAGTGAGAAGTTTGAAGAAATTTGTTTCCTATTACATTTTACTTCATTAGCAACTTATTACTAGAGAATAAATAATTATCATTGTCGTTAAATTATAAATTCTTATAACTTCTTCAAAGCATTTGTTCCTTTTACTTTTTCATAAGACTCAGCAGAAAATAAATAATATTTTAGTACATTATACGGATACGTGTGGGGATATCAAATTCAGCTATGCGATGTGCAAAACAAATAAAATACATTTTTTTTTACTCATAAACCGATTATCGGATCGTTCGAATTGTCTTATCGAAAAGAATAGATATAAAAGTCTTTAGAAAATATAGATTTCAATTTATATTAATTACAACTTCAGATAACATCAGAAAAGTTAATTTCTATATTTCATTCTAAAGATTACCAATGGTGATGTCAAATATTTTATTTGGACAATTTTTTCATTGTGTCAGTTGTTGCATTATGAATGGATTACGAAAAGAAATATAATAATACTAATTATTAATACGTGATATCTCATTTTACAAGCTTTCTGCACTTAGAATAAAAAACTTATTAAAACAATAAAA